CATGCCTGTAATTCTGGCTACTTGGAAGGCTGAGGCGGAAGGATCGCCGGAGCCCAGCAGGTCGAGGCTGCGGTGGCCGGGAGCGGCCACTGCACTCCAGTCTGGGCGACAGAGTGAGACTCCAACTCAAAACAAAAAAAAGTTGTCATCTCTCATTGCTAGCAGGAGACAGAATGTTGCAAAATCAAGTTTGAAAGCGAGATAACTATGAACAAGTAGAATTAAAGTGAAATCTCATAGGTCAATTAATTACAAATAAGCTATTCAACTTTATTCTAGCAAAGTAGAGAATAAAATATATCTTACCTCCCAAAACAACCAGGCTTTTGATTTCTTTAACTAATGGTCATATATATATATATATATATATATATATATATGTATGTATATATATATTCTAACACTTTATTCAGATTATCTATATAACAACACATAATAGCTAGCTCACTTCACTGTCTTCTCAAATGTTTATTACTTCTCAATGTTTATTACTTAAACATTCAGTTTCCTTTTTTTTTACTTTTATTTTTTTATTTTTGAGTTGGAGTTTCACTCTGGCATGCTCATGGCCACCCCAGCGCAAACCTGATGGGCTCAGGAGATCCTTCCACCTTAGCCTTCCAAGTAGCCGGAACTACAGGCATGCACTACCATGCCCAACTAATTTTTTGATTTATTGTAGAGATGAGGTTTCGCCGAGTTGCCTGGGCTGGTCTCAAATCCACAGGCTCAGGCAATCCACGCATCTCAGTCTCCCAAAGTGCTGGGATTACAGACTGAGCCACCGAGCCCGGCCAACATTCAGGTTCTTAATCTTTAAAGTTTCTAGCTATTGATAATGGAAGTCCTTCCTTGTCTTCCACCCTTTCAAGATAATTACATTTTGATTTTCTATTTTGTTAAATTTCGAACTTTCTGTAACATGCATTTCACATTTAATTTAATTATAGAAAATATCTTATGACCCCCATTTTATGAGGATAAGAGTATCTGTACACCCACACTTCTCTTCTACTCTTTCCAAAATTGATTTCTCTATTTCAGCCTTCTGCACCTTGACACTGTGTTCTTCAATTAGTGCTAAGTTTTAAAAGCTCTGCATGCTGATTCTAAAATATGACAATAAATAAATGCTTATACGATTATGGCTACATAAATAATATCCACTGAGGAACCAGACTTCTCCTGAAATTGCACCCTTGTTTGATTTATTTCCCTTTCTTGTCCTGCTTCCCCAAATACCTTACCAGTTTCTCCTGGGAGCGCTTCCTTAATAAATAACTTTAAAACAAAAACATAAATCTGAACTGTCCTCCATTAAATTCTAAGATCAGATGAGCTACCAGAGGGTAGCTATGACCGGGAACCCTCAGGATAAAGGATAAAAAATCCTTTGGGGCTCATGTAATACGCACTATGTTTGAAAAAACTTCCTCAGAAGTGATATTTGATAGCACCATGCTAGCAATGATCTTGGGGCATGGGAGTGATTCTCTGCACCCAGCAGAGAAGAGGTTCGCTGAGAAATGGACCTAACCCTGATGTTAGTTATCTGCTCATCCCTCTAATCCCAACTCCCTTCTACTTTTCCTTGTTCTGTCTCTTCCATCTTTTCTTCTTTTCATCGCATCCAAACATTTCCACCATCTCATTTCCATGCATCCATCCATCCACCCACTAATCAATCCATCACGTATCCTTCTGTCCGTCTGTCCGTCCGTCCGTCCATCCACCCAACCATCCATCCATCCACTAATCAATCCATCACGTATCCTTCTGTCTGTCTGTCCATCCGTCCGTCCATCCATCCATCCATCCACGAATCAGTCCATCCAATCATTCGTCCATCCATCCATCCCTCCATTCATTCACCCACCCACCCATTTCTCCATTGATCCAACTAGTATTGGTTATGACTTATTATAAATCTAGCACTGGACTCGAAGACACGAAGAAACCTGGGAAACCAGAGAAGAGCAGGTAAAGAGACTCTCTATTTCCCAGAATGAGTTCCATTCTCTCCCCTCCCTAGAACATGTTGTGGGTGCCTTCTTCATGACAGAGTTTGTTTATGTAGGTTAAACAGATGTCAAAAGACAAAGGGGTTCCAGAGAGACACGATGACAATCTCCCATCCCTGTGGCAGGTTGCTCCCTCCTGTGGACTGAATGCTTAGATACCCCCACAAATTCATTGGCTGAAGTCCTAATCCTCAAGGTGATGGTATTAGGAGGTGGGGGGTCTCAGGGGGGGGAGATTAGGTCAACAAGGCAGCACCCTTGTGAATGGGATTAATACCCTCTTTGAAAGGAGGCTTGGGGGAGCTCATCAGAGTTCCTTGGCCCTTAGGACACAGAGAGATGGCAACTATCTCTGCACCAGGAAAAGTGACCTCACCAGACACCAAATCTGTTGGGCCTTGACCTTGGACTTTCTATTTCTAGAATCGTAAGAAGTACACTTTCGTTATTTATAAGGTACTCAGTCAATGACAGTTTATTATAGCAACCCAAGCAGACTAAGACGCTCCCTCATGAAGCAAATGCATCATCATGAAATCAGGGGTCCTTGCTAGCCTCGGGCTGTCTGTCCACATCTGCAGTGTTCCTCTTGGAGCCGACTGGGCCAAAGCCCCTGGTGAGATCTGCAGACCCACTCGAGCCCCTTCCAGTGCTGTTTGGAATGACTTCGTTATGGCCACATTACCTCACCCCAGATTTCTGGAGAAGGGACAAGTCTTTCAACTTTTGATGAAAAACAAGCCAAGGCCCATTAAGCTGCCAGATCACTCAGCCAATTAGACCACCAAGAAAAGTTGGGAGTCCAAATGTCCCATCTACCACTTCTGGACCACACTGAGGCTTCCCCACAAGGGAGGGGGTACATATACAGGCTAGAACAGATTCTGGGAGGCCAGTCGATCAACTCTCTGCTTCTGGAACATCACGCAAACCATTCTGCCAAGTGAAATCAGTCTTCACAGCCTTCTCTGTTCCCTTATCTGGGGTCCCACGGTCATGAACAATTCCCTCACGCTGCAACCGAAGCCAATTTCAGGGAGGCTGGAAATTGCCGGTCACCTTCTTCTGCAGATCAGTTTTTATCCGTCCCTCATCAACCTCCCCGAAGCCTTCTCTTCTCCAGCATATCTCATTTTGGCTCAGTTCTGCACAGACCTTTGACATAGATCCTTAGGGAAACAGCTGGAGCGTTCCAATTTAAAAAGCCCTGCCAAGGCAGCAGCTGCCCTGGCTGTGGGTGGTGGGCGGAGAGCCCCCTTTCTTTCTATTTTTTTTGAGTTGGAGTCTCACTCAGTCGCCCAGACTGGAGTGCAGTGGCCGCTCCCGGCCACCGCAGCCTCGACCTGCTGGGCTCCGGCGATCCTTCCATCTCAGCCTTCCGAGTTGCCAAAATTACAGGTGTGTGCTACCACGCCCGGCTGATTTTTTGATTTATTGTAGAGATGAGGTCTCGCTGCCCAGGTGGGTCTCGAACCCGCGGGCTCTGGCAATCCACTCTCCTCAGCCTCCCAAAGGCGCGGGATTACAGGCTGAGCCACCGAGCCCGGCTCCCCCTTTCTTTCTTTACAGGGTCCCGGCTCACCCACACGGCACTCTCCTTCCCCATCCTCCATCGGGAGACTTCACACGGTCAGCAGCAGTGGCTGTGCTCTGGTCTCTTGACCTTGGAGAAGCTGACTCAGGTCGTCTGACTAATGAGCTGTCCCCACCCCACCCGGTTGTCCGCACCCCTCTCCACCTGTCCACCTGCACCCCTGCTGATCCATGCCTGCCCCAGCCCCTTTGAGGATTTCAGCAGAGCTGCTGCTGGTCTCGAGTTCCATTCCCCATTCAGAGCCTCCCTGGGGGTCCCTCCTAGGCCTCCGCCCAGCCCTCTTTCTCAGCAGTCACTTTTGCAGCCTTTCTCAAGCTCTGCCACAGTCTTCCAAGCGGTTTGCCAGAAACTTCCTAGAATTTTGGCCTGCAGGTCATACATGGGCCTCTTCTCTCTGTTTCCCCCTCATTCCTTTCTTCCACAGTCCTGTCTCTTCCCAAACTCAGGAAGCATCAGCTACAATCACCTGGGCATTCCCACCCTGCGGGAAATACACACCCCACCCAAGTCCTGGAGACCCAGAACTGAAAAGCCCAAAGGCAATGGGAAAGGGACACGTAGTGTTACATGTTTTTGAGAGCCACTGTCTGGTTCCTACACAACCATATCACATTTTATTATCTTATTTTACTTTACTTTAAATGTGAGGGCTTACTTACATCCATGTGTCATTTTTTTTTTTCAGTTGGGGTCTCACTCTGTCACCCAGGCATGATCATAACTCACTGCAGCCTTGACCTCGTGGGCTCAGGTGATCCTCTGCCTCAGCTTCCTAAGTAGCTGAGTACAGGTACACGCTACCATGCCTGCCTAATTTTATAATTTTTTTTGTTGAGACAAGATCTTGGCACGTTGCCCAGGATGGTCTCAAACTGCTGGGCTCATGCAGTCCTCCTGCCTCAGCTTCCCAAATGGCTGGGATTACAGGCATGAGTCACCACACCTGACCCCACGTGTCTCTTTAATCCAAAACACTTTTTTGGGGGAAAAAATTGGTTATTATGTTTTGTTTGAAGTTGCAATCATCTAAAATCTTCCAAGTGATGGGCTAGTAAAAATTGGGTCATTTCCCACCTCGGCTTCTTGGGCAGATTTGGTGTGTAGGCACTCAATGTGCAAACGCCTCCCCATGGGGAGCCTTTGCCAGGAAAGCACCCATAGGTGGGGACAGCTGGGATGCACTAGCCCTAGAGACCTAGGACTGGCTCTGCTGGAGGTGAACATGCTGGTGGAGCTGATGGCCATGGGCTGCCCTAGGGAGAGTTCTCTGGGAAGCCCTAAGGGCTTGGTACAGACCTTTGATGTGTGAACACCACTGGGGGACCGAGGCCAAGGGTATGTATCGCAGGAACTGACGGGAGTAGAGGGTGAGAGAAAATAGGAACATTTCCTGGAGAAAAATAAGTCAAAAGCAGAGACAGAGGCCGACACACGGACAGGCCGTGGCAAGAGCGAGCTGTAGGAAGCGAGGCTCCTCGCTAGCACCAAGAGTGAGGACGGGCACTGCGTGTCTCACAAACGTGAAACGCTGAATGGGCGTGTGAAGGGGGCCATTCTAGACGGGGCTTCACCCCCCAAGGCACCGTCACCACTTACTCTTCCAAAACCTTCTGGGTCCCAAGTCTGTCCATCAGCCTCTGGAATTGGGACTCCTCATCTTCATCCATGTCTCCCAGGGCCTCGCCCCCTCTGGACTGATACACCTTCTCTTCCTGGTGCTGGGCCCCCTGCTCGCCTGGGTCTTCCTGGCTTGGGCTATTCTGACTGAAGAAGAAGTGACCTGGGGGGGAGGGGAGTGCCAGGCACAAGAATCTGAATTAGACCACACGTACCCAGGAGGAGCTCAGCTTTCTCAGCTGCCAGGAATCATCTGAGGTTCATCTGGGAGAAGAAAAAGGCAAAGCAAAGAAGCAAAGCTCTGGGGACATCGTGTCCTGGATTTTGTGTCTTTTCCACTCCCACAAGCATCTGGCCAGAGCTGCCAGAACCTGGGAAAGACAGAACGTCGGGCGGCTATGGTGGTTCCTTCGTGGTCCTCAATTTTGACTTCTGGCTTAGAACACACCCTTTTGATTTCTCTTTAAGCAACAAGACCTTTCCCTCCATTGCACCCCAGCAGCCTGACTGCGTAGACTCCATCTTGCTATCCTAGTCATCCCCCAGCTAGCATCTAGACTTCACAATGACAAGTTTCTTATACTCCCTAGTATTACAGCAATCTGTCTTATCTCCCCGAGTCACTTTGAAGCTCCTGAAGGTCAGAAAAGGCACCCGATGCTTCTAATAAAATCAGATGACCCTTTGCGTGAGGCAGATGGATGATAAAATGTGCCTGTTGATTTATCAAACTCTGGATCCCTGGAAGGAGGGTGTGAAAGCTTGTTCTCCATGGTTCCCCAGATGTGGAGGGAACAGGAATGCCCCTTATACAGCTTTAGGTAGACCTGTAACCCTGGGGTCCCCAGCAACCATCAGAACTTACTAAATCCAGTAGTGAACTCTTCTGGAGTCAGAAAGCCGTTGCCATCAGCATCCAGGGCATCAAACACATCCTCCAGCTCCTCCAGGCTGAGCGGCAACTCCTCATGGAGCCTCTGAAAGCAACCCAGACTGCACTGGTTAGCACTCGAACGTTCACGGGGGCTGACCTGGGACTGCAGAGTCCTCTGCCAAAAAATGTCTAGAGCTTGACTCAATCCTACAAAAGCCAAAAGCAAGCTTCTGCATCCAGACCGCCCTCCCATCCTTCTCCTCCTTTGCATATCAGAATAGTTACCATTGATTGGGTGCCTACTAATGTGCTAGGCAACTTGCCAGGTGATTGACAAATAAACAGATAAGTAAATATCGATCTATCTGTCCATTCATCCATCCACCCACCCACCCACCCACTTATCTATCAATCATCTATCTTTATCTGTCATCATCTATGTCTATTTACTTACCCACCTGCCTTTGTCTAGCCATCATCCATTATCTAGCCATCATCCGTCTATCCAGCCATTAACTACCTATGTATCTATCTGTCTATTGTCTATATATCATCTATTTATCTACTTACCTATCTATCCACTATCTACCCATTCATTCATACATCTATCTGTCTGTCTATCTATCTATCTATCTAATCTGTCTTCATTTGATTCTCATGGCAACCCTTTGAGGTAGGCATCACTATCCCCATTTTACGGATGAAGTCTGAGATTACATTGCCCTTCTCAAAGCTACATGGCTAGCAATGACACAGCCAGGAGTCAAATCCAGGTCTGATTACAAAGCTGGCACTCTCAACATCTGTACAGGCCCAAATACTTGTAGAATAATGCCCACACAGTGGTTCCCTGCTCTCTGCTGGCTGACAATTCATTCCTGAGATGATGTCAACTGCCATTGGCTTAAGGTATCAACCCCCCAAGAGTACCTGTGCTGCAAAGGGGGACTGGACAAGATCTCCTGGTCATAAACAAACACTGAGCTTGAGTCCTGGGCTGACCAGGACTTCACCAGAAGGGAAGGGCAGAGACCATCCAACGGGACAAGGAGCAGAGTGACCGAGCTGTTGATATGCCCCGCTTCTGCCTGGTGTGCCTGGTTCCAGGCCATGGCTAATTTGCATAGTTGGATCCAGTGTCCTTTTATGCCCTAAGAATCTAAATCTCTAGATGAGAACTCCCCAGGGGAGTTCATGATAACCCAGCCGACCATCTTTCTTCCTCCCGGTTACCCAAGGGGTAACTGCTCAAAACTGCCTGATTGTAAGTAATTGACAGCTGAAGACAGTGGATTCAGGGCTTTATAGGAAGAAAGGCATACAAGGGGGGGGGGGGGGCTAAAAAAAACCCAGAATTTATTTGTAAAAAATTGTGTATTTATTCTCACATGTTTAAACTTCATTCACCTTCAAAGTATTCTCTGTTGGATGCACTACACTGATAGTGATGCTTTTTCCACTGCTCAAAACAGTCTTTGAACTTGTTCGTTTTGATGCCTTTCTGTGCTTCTGCTGTTTTCTGTTTCACTTCTACGTGGGCAAAGCATGTCCGTTTGAGGACTTTTTCCATCCAGGGAAACAAAAAAAAAGTCACTCGGGGTGAGATTGGGTGAATAGGGAGGGTGGAGCACAGGGGTCACGCCATTTTTGGTAAAAAAAAAAAAAACACAAAACAAAAACTGCTGAACACTCTGTGCAGCGTGGGCAGGTGCGTTGTCATGGTGGAAGAACCAGTCACCTGTTTGCCACAACTCGGGACGTCTCTTCCAGAAATCAGCCTCTTACAACAATGCTAGCTGGTACACTGATGCCAGTGGGTTCCCAGAACACTCACCTAGCAGGGGAAGCCTGTACTACAAGGAGCCCACCCTCCAAAAGATAATTCTGGGATTTCTGGGGTCCCACCTCGTATATATACCATCTGAACGACAGAAAGGAGCTGGCAGGTGTGGAAGCCCATAACCTAACCGTCAGGAACACTTGGCTCCATCCTATGGCAGTCTTTGAGCTGATTAGCCATGAAGTGTAATTTGGCAGGTACACACATTAAGGGAGACTGTGATGCATTTGAAAGCGAGAAGATGGGATGATGTGGAAGCCATTTGGAAGAGCTGAATTAAATATGATTGGCTTTTTCAAAAAAGGAAGGAGAGCGAGTGAGTATAGACAGACTCTGGAAGTGCACCTGCTTAGCATTCAGAAAAATCTCTGGCTTCTCAAAAACCCATAAACCAGCTGTCTCAAAAGCCACAGTAGGACAACATGGGGTGAGGAGGGAGTCAATTTGGCAAGCAGGAAGTTGATTGGCTCCATCTGAAACAGAAGACATCACACGGGAGGTAGGGGATGTTCCAAGATGATGCCACGCCCAGACTCCAGCCCTTTCCTTGGGATAATCCATCCTTTCTCCTCACCCTCAGCCTAGAATCGCTAGATCTGATCTGAAACGTGATATATCACACTATGCTGGAGCGGGCACTGAGCTGGAAGAAACTTCCAGAGTTCAGGGGGACCCTCAACTTGCTTTTAACCCAAACCACTCCCTCCCCAACACTTTTCTCTTGTTAGTGTCACCCAGGAAAGGCTATTTCCTAGCTCCCTGTAGGCACCATTCCCAAATCTAACCACGCTTCCTACCCCCAGTCTCTTCTATTATCTAATCCCAGTCCTCCTTGTGTGCATCTCAAGCCAGTTTCCTCTTCCTGCTGTCAGCAAGGATGGGGGACAGTGGCACGCTCCCGGCCACCGCAGCCTTGACCTGCTGGGCTCCGGCGATGCTCCCGCCTCAGCCTTCCAAGTAGCCGGAACTATAGGTGCACATTGCCATCCCTGGCTAATTTTTGACTTATTGTAGACATGAGATCTCGCCAAACTTGGGTCTCGAACCCACGGGCTCAGGCAATCCTCTCGCCACAGCCTCCCAAAGTGCTGGGATTACAGGCTGAGCCACCGAGCCCGGCCAAGTCTTTTAATCTTAACAGCCGTAATCATCTTTCATTTAGCTCTCTTCTCGGGGCCTACAGAGTCAGGTAAAAACAGCTTATTCTGCTGGCGTCCCCTGGGCACCTGGTGCTGCCTATATTTTTAAATAAGTGAGATAAGCAGGGCAGAGAGGGGCAAGATGATTTCTTCCACAGTGTGACGGGTCCATGAGATGCTGAGATAAGCCTAAAAGTCACAGTGGAGGCTGGAGCTGGGAGAGGAACCAACATCCCCTTCAGGGCTTGAGCCATAGTCTAAGGGTTCTCGAGTGCATTTGTTCTGTAATTCCCCAGTTACCTCTTGTGAGGTAATGTCCAAACATCGGCCCTTTTTCTCTATATCTGACTTCTTTCTGTCCCTCCCCCAGGAAGCAGCCCTGGCCAAGGCTGGCCTCTGCAGGAGAAGCATATTCCCAAAGACGAACCGGAGGGTGCAGGTGATTGAGCAGAGTTGAGGACAAAGTGGGCTATACCCTGACTCACAGTGATCGTAACCACCATGTAGCAAGTTGAATAATTAACTTGCTTGACTACAAAATTGCTTGCTGTATGGTCCCAAGGTGTGGATTCTTTCTTCACTGACCTCCTGGGTAGAAACTTTCTTCACTGATCAACCGCCATCAATGCCTCCTGTAAGTTCTAATTAACCAATGTCTTTCCCTGCTGGACCTCTGGGTGACTTCTTTGGAATATGTAAAGAACCTTATACTCAAGCCCTCTCAGATCTGGGGCCGCCACGTTGCATCTCTTCACACCTACCCACCTGCCAGCACCACCGCTGTTAGAACAAAGCTCAAAGTCTTCCTTGGTGGTGCTACCAGAGTCTGCCTTCCAGAGACCCTGTTCCACTCATAGCATCCCCACACACCTGGAAGAGCAGGCAGGGGAAAGGAGGGAAGATGTCCACCTGATCTCCTCACCCTGCCCACGGTCCAAGGCGCTCTTCAGAATTCCAGGCTCCTTTAAACCCCAGCATTCCTCCACTGTCTTCAGCTCAATTCCTTCTTCACTCTCAGCTCCCGTGTTACTCCCTCAGTGAGACCATTACACCTCCCATCTGAGGTCATATCACGCGGGCTCCCAGAACTACATTTCTCCACTCATATGTCTCATCTCTGTTTGAAACTTAAATACTGAGAGAGGCGATTCATCAATGTGTGTCTACTCCCTCGGTGTTTTCAGAAGAGGAATGTCATTCGTGACTCACCATCATGTCCCCAAGATCCAGCCCAATGCTGACACACATGGAGCATTTAGGTATGTGTTGAATGAAGGTACAAGTCAGTGTGTGATTAAGAGTGAAGCAGAGATCCTGCACGCCTGTCCACAGAGCATGGTCTAGACGCCCACACGCCACATCCTGCCCAACCCAAATGCTAGTTCTCAGGGAGCTTTCATCGACGGAGACCTGGACCAGGAAGCATACTGCAGCTCTCAGGCTCAGATTCCAGAGTCTGGGAAAGCTATGTCTTCTGTTGTGCGCCAGCCAGACTCCTTTACCTTCCTGGTCACCAGTGCGTTGACATGCCTCGTGTAGTTTAAAGCACCTCGTGTAGTTGCACAGCCTCAAACACGCATAAACAAAACTTTCACTAGAGAGAAAACCAGAGGAGACCCATCTTTATGGCCAGAACTGCACTCTCCCTCCTTCTGGACATCCACTGCATTCTGTTCCAGCCTCCATTCCAGCACCAACCACTTCCTCCCCTGTGATACCGCTCTGCCTCTGTCAAACCGACTAGCTACAGGATGCGAGTGCAAGGTCTGGGAGGGCAGGATCTACCTTTATGCTGCTTGTGCTTTGATGTGCTTGGCTTGGGCTGATTGCTCGGGGTAGACCAAGGTTTCTCAGCCTCTGCACGACTGCCCTCTTGGAGTGGATGATAGCTGGGTGACAGGCGGTGGGGAGGGGGTGGAATGGGGGGAAGAGTAGAGACTGTCCTGTGCCTTACGGTGTGTTTCCCAGCATCCCTAGCCTTAACCTATTAGAGAGATGCCCCTAGCACCTCCCTCATTAGTCACTTTGGTCAAAAATGTCTCCAGACACTGTCATATGCCCTCTAGGAGGCAAAATCGCTGCCAATCATATAGACAGGACACAAACAAGAATAGTAACTGCTGG